ACTTTCATAAAAAGGACACAAACTCAAACATGGATGGCTTTAAACTCTAAAGGTGCCAAATTTATGGACCTTGAACCTCAGAAACACTAAGAGGGGGCAACTCAAAGCTCCTGGAGTGGAATCAAGACCACTAGATCTCATTCTTAGGACCAAAATGAACCAAAACTCATAAAATGATAGATCTAAGAAATCAATGATCAAGTTCAAAGCTTTTTACCTCCAACAAGCTGGAAATGAGACACATAAGCAAGATCCATAAGCTCTTCCTTGATTCCCATCCTTGGACCAAACTCCATCTTCTTGGAAATGGACCAAACACACCAAAAATGGACATCATAAGCTATAAATGCCACCATGAAGGCTTAAGGACGACTTATAGGGTTTTAGAGGGTGGGGCTGACTTAGAAATGAAGAAAGAGGCTAACCTTATTCTTATATAGGGTACAACCCTAAAATTAGGGTTTTCAACCTGACCCTCGTACGCCCAGCGTACCTCCTCGTACGTCCAACGTACGAGGTCTCGCATCCTGACCCAACCTCGCACCTACACTGTGTGTTCCTCCAGCTATGCCTCGTGTAACTCCCTTTGCCTCGGTACGCCCTGCGTACTAGGGTTTTCCCCTAAACCCTAATTCATGCGAAGACCATAACTTTCTCGATACAATTCCGCATCCGACCATCCTTATATCCATGAAAAGGTATCGAGACGCTTGACACTATTATCAATTCATAATCAGCATAAGATATCCTGAACGAGAATCCACTTTCCATAAAAGCCCGCTGACAAATTACCAAAATGCCCTTTGACCCAAAAACTCAAACTGAATACCCGAACAACCAAGCTACATTATCCAACTCCAACTGGGTCCGAAAACCAATTCCTTGAGGATCAAAAACCTGATAATACCCAGTCTTTGATCACCATTCCAAAATGGGAACGATTCAAAACAAGATGTTACAAATAAGGCAGAAGTAGTCTCGTATCTTTCAAATTGAGGAAAACGTGACGTTGGGAGAATCACAGGAGGAGGAGGAAGAGTTGAAGAGAGATGATGTCTAGTTCCACCATTCCCTGAAGAAGGGAAAACTTTTTCACCTTTATTATAATGTGGAAGATCATCTTCAGAAGAACGAGGAAAAACGTTTCCATAAGAACGAGGAAAACCATTTCTATCTTCATAAAACATCTAAAGTGGGAGAAGATAGAATTAAAGTTAGTTGGTTTTAATCCTTAATTATTAACCCATAAATTTAAATTAAGGCTAGGATCCATATTTTCGATTCGACCTTTGAAGAGGGATGTTGTAATCAAATTCAAATCTATTTTAGGTAGTTAGAGTCATCTCACCAATTTCAATCACATAAAACTCCTATATCTTTGAGATTTATTGAATCTTATCAATGTCATGCTTAATCTCAATCATGCTCTTACCAATTGTGACTGGGATGCCGACGATCACAATTAATATGTGAATAATCATGCAAACCTGCTTGACAACCTCGAGGTCATTTATCATCTCAAATTGATGTGCCGGTGAACCACACACGCTCCATCAATAATGATAATTTTCGATTTGTCCATCACGTCAAATTTTATAGACCCAAATTAGTGTGTCGGTTAGCCACGCACGCTCTACTAAAGATATATAAAGAGTGATGTACGTTTTCATGGATTAACATACACTTCACATTTTTCCTAAAGTAACTAGAGTGGGATTTATAAAAGGTTTAGTTACTTTATAGTATCATACTTTTAGAGATTATGTTCTATCAAACCCGTTCGGCTAACGACCATCCACCATACAAGGGAGCGGTGGGTGAGAGTGGACACCCATTCAACGGTCATTTTATAGGTCGTTATCTTTATACCCCCTTTAGAGTATGGCTTCGTGAATGAGGCCTACAATTGATTTCACTGAATTGTCTTATACATATAATATATTAAATATTTAATCATATATAGTATAAGGTGTATTTTAAAACCAATAAAATTAAAAGATTTAAATTTTAATTATCTAAATTAATCATATAATTGATTAATCAATTTAAACTTATCATGGATTTATAATTATCTTTTAATTAATCTTATAATTAAAATTATTATTAAATCCATAAGGGATAATTCAATATTGATTAATCAAATAATTAAACATTTATCAAATAAGGATATCGCCCAATATTTAGGGAATTTATTTAATCATCCAAAGCATGAAAAATCGTATTCTAACTGATTTATAAGCAGATGATTACCAAATAACAATCACATAAATCAAATTAGGCAAGAAATCACGAAATTCTGGATTTTAACTGAGTTCACATTGTGACAGATACATGTCACGTTGTGAGCTCAGTCTAACAGAATACAATGTTTGATAAGAAATCCCGAAATGCTGTATTTGTTTTTGTTCAATTCAACTAATGTGAAATCAATTTTTTACAAGCCTAAGCTATGATACCATTGATGTGTTTTATATAAGTCAAAATCATGTACAATGAGGAAAACACTTAACAATTAAGAGGGTACATGCATCCTATAAAGGGTCTATGTCATAACACTTTGAAGGCAACATACAATGAACAACAAAACTAGCATCAACCCTAATATAACCGAAATCATGGGATTAGGTTTACCTACCTTTGATTTGTGGTAGTAGACAAATCACTTCAATCTCCTTATGGTGTAGGTCTTGGAGAGCTTAGCACCAAAAGGATGATGACTCTAATGGCTCACACCCAAATACTAGAACTAGAAGATAATAGGAGAGAGGAGAGAGGTTCAAGATTTCATTCACCCTTCTAGGGAGTAGGAACCACGAAAATAATGACCCAAGGGGTCATATTTATAGTTGTCAAGAAACCCTAGAAGCCCTAAATTTGAACATATAATAATATATTTCAAATTAGGCAGTTATCTGGTTTCTTAGTTATCATTAGGAGTCTTCTAGAAACCCTAATAGGTTCCTCAAAACCGTACATATGATGGAGGTTTCTAGATCCTCTCATTTGTTCAACTATTGAACAATTACAACTTAGCCCTTAACCTTTAATTAATTCTAATTAACCTAGAATTAATTTCAGATTAATAATTAATCAATTCCAATTGATTTCACATTAATTTATTAATCACATAATAAATTGATCACATAATATATTAACAAATTATTTATTGCAATTTAATAATCATATAATAAACTAATAAAGATATCATTTCTCTCTCTCTCTCTCTCTCTAAAGGTCATTTTTACAAAGTTCTAGTTATGAGAGCAACCCAAAAGGATTTTGCTTCTATTTACAAGAATATACCAATTTAGTTACTGGCTTAGACACCTTAATCCAACACTTGTAAGCTCTCGACTTTTAGAGAGAAAAGAGAGGAAAAAAGAAGCAACAATTAACTAGTCATTCATTTCTTTATATACTTGCACATGTGCAGTAAAGGCCATATTTCCAGTTAATGCATAAGTATGGAGATGTAAGGAAGCATGGTGTGTAAGATGCAAGCCAAACAAGCAACCTCGATACTCTTTACTAACTTTCGGCCCTATATACTCAGAGGAAAAATGATGTGACTTTCATTGGCTCTTATTTTATTAACATGTATAATTGTTAATATTAATGAACTTCAATAGATTCAAAAATGTGTACACAACTTATAAATTCATACCTTATGAGTTACTAGTTGTTTTCTCTCTTGGAAAGTATTATTTTTTATAAAATAATAATTTTCCAGTTAAATGCAAAAGTTGATAATATTTTATTAGTAATCAAATTCTAATAAATAATCAAGAAGTGTCTACTTGTATAAGGTTATACCCTATAAGATCATATGTTATTAGCAAATATAATTCTATAATGATTATTGAGCATAAAGATCTTTCAGTAATTTATTTTTTATTGCTTTTATAATTTGTTGCTATAAAAAGGAAAATGGAAAAATGGGTAAATTAATCATTTTAGGTATTTTCAATTAAAATTGGACCAAAAATCTAATTTTTTTAGATCAATTGATAGTTTTCGACAAACCACAATGATCATTTTTACAATTTTTTCATTTGTAGAAATTTTCTTTTTATATTATCACTCTAAAACCTCCGAACGAAAGAGTTACCTTCTTTCAGTCTCTATTTTCTCTTTCTTCCAAGATTTTACAGAAGCTTTTAGAGTAAGTTATAAGAATTGTCCAAATAACATAGCAAAATTTATAATTTGTTTTCTAAATAAGTTTTGATTTTGTCATAATAAAAGGTCTAATAGTTTAACTTTGGATAAGGTCCAGTAATAACTCCGTTAATAGTAAAAAATGGAATGGTATAAGACAATGAGTTGTAGATCGCGGTTAAAAAATGGTGGAATAATGTCCCGACCTTTTTTTCACGGGAAAATGACGCAACGACTCTATTATGTATTTCGACTTTACCTTTTCAGTCCCTAAGGTTTTTTTCTTGCCTTTTAAGGGAACAAATTGTTTTTTGTCAAGTTAAGTTCGTCATTTTGTAAGAATTGAAGGGATCAGCCGATAACATCCTTGCCACATCATTTAAAATTTCCACGTGTAACAGCTGAGTGTGTTTAGTTAGGGTTTGTCATGAGGTACCGACAACAGTTCCCCACTCTCTCCGTCTTCATCAATTCTTTTCGTCTACTGCATCCATTTCCAATAATCCAATATCTTGTTTCAACCATGGCTATCTACATTGTTTTCGATATGCATGTTCAGGGAATATTTAAAAGGTACCCCATACGATATATCGATGGTACTACGTAGAGACTAGAGAACATTGATTTCGCAGACATGGAGAAGAACGAGTGCTACGCGTTCATAGAAAGATTCATAGTTGAAAAATGTGAGAAACTGTACTACTGTCTTCCTGATATCGATTTTCTAAAAGGTTTAAGGTTAATTAGGAATGAACTTGATTATTCCACTTTTATAGCCATTGCGTATGAATGTGGTGTCGTACTCCCACTATATGTAGACCATTTTGGTACCACTAACATGCATGAGTGGTTGGATGAAGAAAGAGAGGAAGTGGTTGATACTGATGATGCCCACGATGATGGTGAAACAAATGAGACAGGGCATACAGATGATAATGGCAACCCTCATTTTTTTCAAAAACGATAATGAGCCAGACTATGAGTTGAGTGACAATGTAGGTGAAGGCGAACATGTTACTGATGTCATGGGGGAGAATGAAGATAATGAGGTTGATGTTAATATTGATTTTCCGAATAATTTCAATGAAGAGCAACCCTGGAATTAGCAGCAACCTATGTTAGGTATGAGGTTTAAGAATCCTAAACAACTCAAACACATGTTATGTAATTATGCAGTTGCTAATGGTTATCAACTATGTTTTAAGAAAAATGATAATAGAATGTTGTTAGTTAAATGTTGTGATGGAAGTTGTATATTTAGGCTTTGGTGTCATGGATGAGTGATGATAAGTCTTTCCAGATAAAGTCTTTGATAATTGACCATAATTATTCTAGGAATTCCAAATTTGGGTCAATTGTCACTTACAGATGGATAGGAAACCATTTCACCCAAGAATTCGTAAACAATCAGAAGATGAGTGTTAGGATGCTTAGAGAGGAGGTCAAAAACACATTGGCATTGAAGTGAGTATGAGTCAGTGTAGGAGAGCCAAGAAATTTGCTTTTACTCTAGTTGAAGGTACACTTGAAAACAACTATGCCAAGTTATGGTCATATGGTGAGGAGATTAAAAGATCAAATTCAGGTTCAACGGTAAAAAATTATGTTGATTCAATGCCTAATGATAAAAACTACTTCAGTAGGATTTACATATGTTTTCAGGGAGTGAAAGAGGGTTAGAGGGGTGGGTGTAGACGGATAATTAACCTTGATGGTTGTTTTCTGAAAAGTTATTGCCAGGGTGAGTTACTTTGTGTTGTAAGTAGGGATGCTAACAATTGCATATTCCCAATTGCTTGGGTTGTTATATGTTTAGAGAACAAAGACAATTGGAAGTGGTTTATTGATAATCTTAAAGAAGACTTGAACCTTTAACATGGAGGATTTGGGGTTGTGCTAATATCTGATCAACATAAGGTATGGTACTTTTTGTTAATGTGTTACAATATAGGGACAATATATGGTATGCCATTCTAATTTTTTATATCATTGATACGTATTTAGGGACTGGTTGAGGCAGTGAAATAGGTACTTCCCAGAGGCATAACATAGACTGTATGCAAGGCATATCTATGCTAACTTTAGAAAGAAATTGTCTGGAGCACAATTTGAAAATCTTTTCTGGACGGCCAGTAAAGCAACTACTGAAGCACATTTCAATGCAGCCATGAAGGAGATTCAAGAAGTAAATCCTACTGCCTTTGTGCATCTTATGGAGAGGGATCCTAGGACATGGTCTTTGGCTTTCTTCAAAGTTCACCAAGGTTGTGAATCCGTGGAGAAGGGATACTCTGAAAGCTTCAACAGTGTGATAATGGATTCTACGAAGAAACCAATTATCAATATGTTAGAGGATATTCGTATTTATGTCATGCAAAGGATGGTCAAAATGAAACTTAAGGGACAAGGATGGGATCGTTTAAATGTACGTCTGACATCAGGGAAAAGTTGAATTCGTTAAAAATGAAGCAAAGGTATGTCACTAACTTTACTATTGAATGAATAACTTCACAACTTTGAATTATAGTTAACTGTTGTTGCTAAATTTAGGCATTGGCAAGTTATTTCTTGTGGGGTGATGAAGTTTGAAATAAGAAAGATGGACCGGTCTTATGTTGTTAATGTCCAAAATAGGGAATGTACATGCAGGTCGTGGTAATGGAATGGCTATGGTTGTGTGCACTCAGTTGCAACATTATCATTCTTAAACACTACACATTATCAGGCACATGTGAACAAAATGTACTTTGCAACATTATTCCATAATACTTACAAAGGTACCATACATGGGATGAATGGAATGAACATGTGGCCATCTCCAGACAAAGTCCCTCCTTTTTCCTCAATTAAAGAAAGAATGCATGGCAGACCTACTATGAAGAGAAAAAGAGATGGTTCAGAAAGGCCTGACACACACTGTATCAAAGGCTAGGAAATCTATATGTCGTGGTGTATGTAAATAGAAAGGACACAACAAGACAACTTGTCCTCAAGTTGAAAGGCCTCCTAAATTTAATGATAGGAAAACACAATGTGTGCGACAAACACAAGAGTCAGTGAACATGGAAAGGGGTGGGGAAGATGTTGCAATGGGTGATGTTGGTGGGGAAGATGTTGCAATGGGTGATGCTGGTGGTCAAGATGACAGGGTTCATGAGCAGGAAGTGCATTTTGGTAAAGTGGAACAGCCAAGGAAGAGGAAGAAATCAGAAAGAATCCTTAAATTGAAGTTGGGAAAAAAATTAAAGGTGAAGGTAGCAGTGCATCAAAGCCTATGGATGTGGAGTAGTGTGGGTGTAGTGTATGGTGGATGGGTAATTACATAATTTCCTTTTCTTTTAATTGAATATCTTGAAAGCTAGTTGTAGACAACGGTGTTTATGTACTTTGTATTGCTTTTTAAATTTTTATGTAATTTGTATTGCATTTTAAATTTTAATTTGGGATGTTGGTTTAAATAATTTCCATAATTGCCCCTTCATTTATCAATCACGAATAAGTGCATGACACAGTTGTGGTACATGCAGGTTTTTTTTTTTTTTTTTTTTTTACATATTTGGCCTAACTAATGTTGTCCTACGTATGAGTGGTTTTTTTTTCATATTTGGCCCTACCAATGTTGAATATAATTTCTATTAATAAGAAAGAAAAAATATATTCCTTCTGTTTTTTCCTATTTTGGTAACTTTCTATCCATATAACTGGTTACTTTATTCAGTAACTTGTATGTGCAAGTCGTGCGGATTGATGGGCCTGATGTCCCAATGTGACATATAAAACAAAAACCTTTTTCCCTAAAACCTTTACAACATGTGGTCATACAAAACAAACCTTTTTTCCCTTATACCTTTAGACCATGTGGTCCCAAATCTGTTTATAGAACAATAATCTTTTCCTTAAAATATAGAAATAGACATGAACAAGTTCAACCTTTGGGTCTTACAACATGCGTTGAAATATACTAAAATAAAGACAAAATGTGTATATAGCCATAATAGTCATTTGCATTCATCTAGGTTTTGTACATAATCCTAGATAATACTATTCACAATGATGTTCCTAGATATTGAAAAAGACATCCAAAAGAGTGGTTTCCATATTTTCCAGCCGCAAACAACACAATATCTACCATACCAAAAATAGAAAACCATATCTATACTACCAGCTTCTGATGGGTTTTTTTACATAAAATAGATAGTTTTCATAAAAACCGGCAACGAAAGCTTTAAAATTTCTTATAAATTCCGAGTATACAGCAAAAGCAGACCATCAAGGATCCTTTTAAAGAGGTTAGAATGAAGTTACAACAACCATATGGTGTTTAGAAATAACAACCTTTGATGCCTTTGGACCCTCTTATAATTAGGGTATTGAAGTAGATGGCAAGAACAAGAAGCTTGATCTTCTATACAAGTAATCCACCAACAAGAATAAGGTACCAAAATTGCTAGATTTCTTCTTGTACAAAAATTTTCTTTAAGCATTAAGTGCTTAATCAATTAAGAACTAAAGGAAGACACAAAGTGAACACCAAAAGCTAAGAAACAACTTCAAAAGAGAGAGAACTCCTAACTCTATTCAAGTTACGGTTTTGGTGAGAAAAATAGAATATAGCCAAAAGCATGAATATACCCTCTTTTAGTACTCCCATGCAAAGTAAGACCAAACCATTAAAATACCATAAAGTATTCCAAAAGCATAAAGCAAAGGGGACAAAGCATGGAAGTTAGATATAGAGACCAACACGGGGAAACTACACAACTAATCTCCCATGCCTCACAACTTTCGGCCATGGAGAGATAATAAGAAAAAAAATGTCTTCTAACCTCATTAACCATGGTATGTTCATTCCTTATTTTCAAATATTAACTCAGAACGCCTAGGATTTTAGCAATTAGTTTTTTTACAACTTTGTTTACATGAAATCCTTTTATGAAATATATTTATTTTTATGAAATATATTTTCTTACATGAAATGTAATATTTATATAAATAAAAAATTAAAACTTATAAATTTTAACCATCATGAAAATATATTTTATTTAATATATAAATAGTTTTTGTTGACTAGACTTTATCTAAAATATTCAAGCTACAATACATAATTAAATATTTTTGTTTTCTATTTTTTTATCTAAAACATTTTGAACTATAAAAGCATCATATTATTAACTTTTAATTTTTACATGATATAATTTTTAATATTATCTTCATTTATCTTATACAAACACATTAATTTTTTGGAAAAAAATATGATGTGCCAATTTTTAGAAAAAAATGTTATTATAGAAATAATAATATGTTTTTATTTTATTTTAAAAATATATGTATGCAATTTTTAGTTAAAGATAAAAAATATGTTTTGATTTTGATTTCATAATATAAGTACAGTAAGTTTATATTGGTTCCATATAAAATTTTGATATTTAATTTTAAAAAAATATTTAGTTTTATCAAATTTTAAATATATTCCTTAATAAGACATACACTTCTCAAAATATTTTATATATGACATTAATTCTGTTTAATTCATTTTATTTAATGGAAAATAAAAATATTTTTTTATATTTTTAAAAAATGAATTAAACGGAAGTAATGTCATATTCAACGGAATTAATATGACATTAATCCCGTTCAAAAAAACCGTTAAATAAAATGAATTAAACGAAATTAATGTCATATTATTGATATGGTTAACTATTTTAACTCAAAATCACATACTTATCTAACCCCAAAAATACTAGATAAAATTTTGGTTTTTAAATCAACCAATACATTCATTCATTACTTTCAAAGATAGTTATATTATCAAAAGTGTTTCCAATAACATCAGAGTAGCAACAAAATCATAAATGTGAAATCTCCAGTGGATGCGATGCAATCATGTCGGACCCTTTCCCTTGGAACCCGAAGTAGTTTAATTTAAACATAAACCGTAAGCACAAAGCTTACTGAGTCCTCCAAAATACCACATACCATACATAACATAACGGGTCTATTTCAACCCTAAGAAGATGTTATGGGCGAAATCATAGTCTTACTCCCCCTGCTTTGGGCAAAATAATGGTATTTACTTATACAAGTGCTAGGGGTCAGATCCTGGTCTTCCTTACAATTGTCAGGCGCCAAACCCTGTTATTTCATGCAAATGTCATGGGCCAAAACTGGTTTTCATACAAATGCCAATGCCAAACCCTGGTCTTCCATGCAAGTATCACAAAGAAAAATAACATCCTACATAGTATAGTAAGAGAACTCACCTCGCAACGTAGTCAACAGCTAACCATCTCATACAACCAAGAAATGTGTGCTACACACCGCCCACCAAATCAGACAAGGTAAATCCTTAGTCTACCTTCTAAACTAACAATTTGACCAAAAGTCAAACATGGTCAAAAGTCAACGGTCAAAGTCAAAGTTAACCTCCATGTCGTGGCACCTTCTCCACAAAACAGTCGCGGTCAGTGAAATCACCACGTCGTGGTAATCATGCCACCACGTCGTGGCAACTATACAATGGAAAGCTTAATGAATTAAGTTCTTAATCATTTAAGTCATAAGCTTATATTTTCTAGAAGGCTTATTAGGACACTAATTGTCCATAAAACCTTTGCTTTGATGATATGCATGTACAATGCATATCATTTGATCAACTAGGTCAAAAGTGACATAAATGGGACTCAAGATCCATGCATGAGCTCAAAGTAACATAACTTTTCAGATCTAGAACATCTAACCCTCTTAGGACTACAAGGCTCAATAAAGTTGTAATCTTATTGAATCCAACCACTCCAAACACCATGAACATGAAGAAAAACCAATAAAACTTAGATCTAAAGAGAGCTATCCAACAAGATCCGAAAATAGGACTTACAAAGGTCCAAAAGGTGGTCTTAGAGGTGGGGAGGAATTGCTTGCTTGATTCTTGCACTAGAGGCTTCTTCTTCTTCCTTCCAAATGCACCAAAACACCAAAATAAGCTCAAGAATGGAGGAAATGGAATTATGGTTTGCTTCAAGGCTATTGGAGGTGATGGAGGCTGAGGATAGAGAAAACCCTAGCCATCACTTCCTTTAAATACGACCTTAAGCCCGAAAATTTAGAGTTTGCCCATAATCATTCACCACGTCGTGGCCAATACATTGTCACGTCGTGGTGACTAGATGGGATACACGTTTCATGTGGCCTTGCCATGCCGTGGTGATTCCTCCACCACGTCGTGGCCATATAAAAACTTATAATTCACTTTAAGATTCATACCTGAAAATACGGATGCGACAACTCTCATCCACTTCAATCAGACTTTGTCCTCGAAGTCCGCTGCTGTAAACAACTCATGGTAATGCTCCTCATCTCCTCATCGGGCTCCCAAGTCCACTATTAACCCTTCATGTGCTGCTATTACACCTTCACTAAACCAACTACCTTGTTGCACAAGGTCTTCGACTTCCTGTCAAGAACCATAATCGGTCTCTCCACGTAATTTAGGCACTCGTCAACCTGAATGTCATCCAAAGGAACCATTATGAAGTCATTGGATAGGCACTTCCGTAGCTGGGAGACATGCAACGTGTTGTGAATATGACTAAGCTCGATGGGTAAATCCAATCAATATGCAACCTTTCCTACTCGACGATAACTTTGAAGGACCAATAAATTTGGGGCCTAACTTACCCTACTTCTGAAACCATATGACATCTTTCCAAGGTAATACCTTCAGAAGCACTAGATCTCCTACCTGAAACTCAAGGTCAGAGCAGTTTCGGTCAACATAACTCTTATGCCTGCTCTACATGATACGCAAACTATCTCGCGCTTGCTGAATCAACTCAGTGGTCTTGAGCACTACTTTGGTGCTCCCAATTACTCGTTGACCGACCTCACCCCAACAAATCGGAGTTCGACATCTCCTCCCATAAAGTGGCTCAAAGGGAGGCTTACCAATGTTTGTGTGGTAACTGTTGTTTTAGGATAACTCACGCAAAAGAAGGTAGGTATCCCACCTCCCTCCAAATTGTAACACCTGTTCCACGTATCGATTAATTTATATAATTTTTAGGGTTTTGTGCATGGAATCGGCGAGTTGGGGTGCTTCAACTCGTCGAGTAGAGATTATTATGAGGACATGGGGTTTGGGTCCTACTCGACGAGTCGGAAGGCCCCGACTCGACGAGTAGGAGCTGTAAAGAGAAACCCTAATTTTTAGGGTTTGCACCCTATTTAATGAACTTAATGTGCCTCTTGTGGCCTACCTTATCACCCTAATAGCCAGAGAAAACCCTAGATCGACCTTGAACCTTCTTGAGTGAGAGAAAGAGATTTTGTG